TTGCAGGCGACTCACGGCAGCCCAGCTCCAGGTTGAGCTGTTGTTCAGCATCTTAGGTGTGGAGGGCAGTGTCACTGGCTCTCATATGTGGGATCCGAACCGGGGCCCTCTGGCATCCCAAGCCAGTTCTTAACCATCGTGCCACTGTCGGCCCTGAAATAACCTTTTAATGATTAAAGCTTGAAAAATATCCAGTATTTTATGAAGCATGAATAGACATTCTCATACTACATTGTTGGGATTATAAATTGAGGCAAACTTAGGAAAATTTAGTAGTATCAACCAAATTTAAAGTATACATAACCTTTGTCCATCAGTTCCACTGCTAAAAATATACACAGTGGATATGCTCATTAAGGTATGTGCACAAAATCACTTATTGCGGATTTTAATAGAAAAATAAATGAAAACCTAAATGACCATCAACGGGGAACAAGTCGTTTAAATTATGGCATGCCCATGCAATGGGATGCCTTGCAAACTTTAAAGAGAATGAACTTGAGCTGATATAACTTCCTCAGATATACAGAATGACACAAAACAAGGGCAGGGTAGCATATAAAATGGGGTTCTACTTGTGCAGGATTTTTATATACATAAATATTTTTTCTGGAATGAAATACCCAAGAAATTTTAGTATTCACCTTTTAGGGGAGAAACCATGGCATAAGTGGGCTTTCTTGTATACCTTTCTGTGAGGTTTGCATTTTTATTAAATGTGCTTCTATCACTATAATCTTTTAATAAACTTTAATGTAAAAATAAAGTGATTTGGAAGGGAAAATAACATCATTGAAGAAAAATGGTACGAATAAAGGTATTAAAACATACTGGAGGGGCTGGCCGAGTGGCTCAGTTTGTTAAGAGCACGAGCTCTGAGAAACAGCGTCGCTGGTTTGATTCCCACATGGGCCAGTGAGCTGCGCCTGAGCTGAGCTGCCGCTGAGCTGCCAACAGGTGGCAGGATTGCTCATCTGGTGGGAGCACGTGCTCCCAACAAGGTTGCCGGTTTGACTCCCGCATGCGATAGTGGGCTACGCCCACCCGCAACTAAGATTGAACACTGGCACCTTGAGCTGAGCGGCTGTGAGCTGCCAACAGGCAGCCAGATGGCGACTGGACTTGGAGCTGAGCTAGCTGTGCCCTCCACAACTAAGACTGAAGGACAACAACTTGGTTGTTCCTAATTCCCAACACTGTTCCCCTCCCCCAACTCCCCAATAAAATCTTAAAAAAAAAAAGCATCCTGGAGAAAGTCAATGCTTAATTATGAAAGTCAACACTAACCTCTGGAATCACTTGAGTGGATGGGTAGTGTACGTGGTTCTGAAATTATCCCTGTTGGGAAGGAAGTCCCCAGATCCATGACATTTTCAGGTGTTCTGGAAAAAGCACTGAAATGCAATCAGCTTTTGATGTAGCAAATGCCGTCAAAGCCCAGTAAATGCTGAAGTGACTGAAATTATCATCTAAGTCATGAAGTCCTGAAGCACAGGAAAAGCTACTGCCTCTGTCAGGTATCAGAGAACATGTCTTTCGGCTCCATCAAGGGAAGCAACTCCAGAGCCCAGAGCAGCTACCCTGGTGACCAGTCAGTCATGCATAGATAGGCACAGGAAGCGGAAGTCCCTTGTCCACAGAAATGTCAGGGAGCAACTGGGATAGACTGGGAAGAAATACTGTGGAGTAAACAGAGTAAGACTGGGTCCAATTCCAGTGAAGTATCTTCGGCCTATTTCCTCAGGAAAACCTCCAATCTGAATGGCCTCAGGTTTTGCTCTTTGAAGACGGCGGGACATGCTGATTGCCCAAGGAGGGAAAACTGGACACAGAAGTTGCAAACCATGGAGGAACACGGCGAGTCCATCCACTAAACGAACAGACCAGGTACTGAGTATTTTGAGCAATGAAACTGACAACTCGTGTTCAAGTCCTTTGGATTTGGGATCCATGAAACAGGTCAGAAATCTGCTGTCCTGAAAGGCAGCTACTTTTTCAGTCATGGAACCCTGGCCTCTGGGGTTTTGCCATTCAAAAACAGGTGTCTTACTGGGTGGAATATGCTTTTCTTCCTCCATGGGGGAGACTCAGTGGCCAGGACACAGCAGGGATCTTTCTACTTAGAAAGTAACCACAACCTCAACTTTGAACAGGGACATTCTCCTTCAAACTCCTGGACCTCCTGTCCTTCCTGCAACACACACTCAGAATAAAGCACCTGGCAGTGATGTAGGGGGAAGAGGAAGGAGAGACATGAATTCCCATGGCAGCAGGCTGTGGGGACATGATCATTTGCTACACAAACCATAGTGAATAGAAAAACTAGGCCTTCACACCACTGAATCCATCTCACCACAGCCAGCCACACAGCCCACAGCAGAGGACGCAAGCAAGGCTCCCGCAGAACCTGCGATACCAATTAGCACCTACCCAAGCAGAGGCCCAACACAAATCTGCCTTCTCTGGGATTTCTATAAGCAGTAGGTAGCTCCAAAGAGTCTCTCTTCTTCTTGGAGGGCTCTTTTTGCACCCATGGATGCCACTTCACTTCAACATAACATGTCTTACATGATATTAGCTGTTGGTTTGATCTTCCCAA